TTATCTCTATTGCATAAAGAATTATCCCCCTGGTTAAACACTTTTGGTCCTTAAGTGTACATACACTTATTCATCTGGATTGTTGTTAAAAGACTTGATCCCAAGTGAGTAGAAGTAGTCCTCACATTGGAAGCCTATTAATCCACGTAACAGGATTGATCTGGATGCCCAATTGAATAATTGGATGAGTCAGCAGTAGAAGTACCATTCCTCACTGACTCCTCCCTGTTTCTTTTACAGGTTGAGGGATTTAACCACGAATAAACCTTCTCAATTACTCTTCTTGTTAACACTCATAGCACAACCCACTCAGGTTAGTAGCATAGAGGCTGACACGAAACAACTGTTGTTAATCCAATGCAAGATGGATCCGTCGAAAGGGAGAATGCTGTTGCAAATGGTTATCTTGTTGTTGATACTGAGTCATCAAAAGCGAGAACATTTCAGCTAATTCCTCAGCACAGTCTTACAACAATGCTACAAGCGGCTAAACTCTCTCTGGTAACGAGGGTCAGCGACAAGAAGATATCTGATTTTTTGAAGACTGAACACCAAAAAGTGAAACAACTCTCTGAAGAATTTTCATTTGATGGATCAAGAATAATCAGTAACATACCTCTCTCAAAACCTACGGTATTCCAAAAGCTCGGATTTGAAAACGATTTTTCTGAAGAGATCTGCTGCACCGACTGCTTCAAACTTTACCCTATTCCAAAACTTCCAAAGGGGAAAGATGAAAGAATTCCAGAATTAACAACTACATGCAAAACTGTTTTTTATTTGGAATCAAAGAAATTCTTGAAGAAAGTTGGCAAGGAAGTGCAGTATTGCAATGCAAAATTGATGGATGTTGAAAGAACTGGGAAAAAAATCACAAAAATTATTCCGATTCGAACATTAACTTTCCAACCATTGAAGGCCTGGCTTATGCATAAACTCTGGCTCCCTGGATTTGAAGCTCTATTGGATTCCAATCTCAAACACAAAAATTCTGGTAGCGGGACTATGGGTGATGTGTGGGATGGAAGTGTATGGAAAAATCTTGTAGGACCTCAAGACTCGGATGAAATATTCACTTCAAGACCTGGGCACCTTGTCTTTAGTCTTTATGTCGACTGGTTCAATCCATACGGAAACAAAAGTGGTGGGAAGTCTGCACCTGTGTCACCTGAAAACCTCGGTTTTAAACCGAAGATAAATGTGTCATCATCCTCGGTTTGGGACCGTATTCATGCTGGAGCTGGGTGAGATGGGGTGAGATGAACTCCACCACCATTGCTAAATAACTCAAAAGTCATCCATTCACCTCTATGAAGCACCTCTGAGTCCCTCACTACTCCAGTAAACACTTTGAGTGAGACCGGTCTAACTCAGCTCTACAGTAAACACTCTGAGCTCACCAGACTCCAACTCACTCAGCTCAACTCAGCTCACCCTGTACATGTACTCAGCTCACCGGTCTCACTCAGCTCAACTCAGCTCACCCTGTACATGTACTCAGCTCATCAGACTCACTCAGCTCAACTCGGCTCACCCTGTACAAGTGCTCAGCTCATCGGACTCACTCAGCTCAACTCAGCTCACCCTGTACATGTACTCAGCTCACCGGACTCACTCAGCTCAACTCAGCTCACCCTGTACATATACTCAGCTCATCGGACTCACTCAGCTCAACTCAGCTCACCCTGTACATGTACTCAGCTCACCGGTCTCACTCAGCTCAACTCAGCTCACCCTGTACAAGTGCTCAGCTCACCGGACTCACTCAGCTCAACTCAGCTCACCCTGTACATGTACTCAGCTCATCGGACTCACTCAGCTCAACTGAGCTCAGCCTGTACATGTACTCAGCTCACCGGTCTCACTCAGCTCAACTCAGCTCACCCTGTACAAGTGCTCAGCTCACCGGTCTCACTCAGCTCAACTCAGCTCACTCTGTACAAATGCTCAGCTCACCGGTCTCACTCAGCTCAACTCAGCTCACCCTGTACATGTACTCAGCTCACCGGTCTCACTCAGCTCAACTCAGCTCACCCTGTACAAGTGCTCAGCTCACCAGTCTCACTCAGCTCAACTCAGCTCACCCTGTACATGTACTCAGCTCATCGGACTCACTCAGCTCAACTCAGCTCACCCTGTACATGTACTCAGCTCAACCCAGCTCACCCTGTACATGTACTCAGCTCACCGGTCTCACTCAGCTCAACTCAGCTCACCCTGTACAAGTGCTCAGCTCACCGGTCTCACTCAGCTCAACTCAGCTCACTCTGTACAAATGCTCAGCTCACCGGTCTCACTCAGCTCAACTCAGCTCACCCTGTACATGTACTCAGCTCACCGGACTCACTCAGCTCAACCCAGCTCACCCTGTACAAGTGCTCAGCTGACCGGTCTCACTCAGCTCAACTCAGCTCACTCTGTACAAATGCTCAGCTCACCGGTCTCACTCAGCTCAACTCAGCTCACCCTGTACATGTACTCAGCTCACCGGTCTCACTCAGCTCAACTCAGCTCACCCTGTACAAGTGCTCAGCTCACCGGTCTCACTCAGCTCAACTCAGCTCACCCTGTACATGTACTCAGCTCATCGGACTCACTCAGCTCAACTCAGCTCACCCTGTACATGTACTCAGCTCACCGGACTCACTCAGCTCAACTCAGCTCACCCTGTACATGTACACCGGATTCCCCAGCT